ATGGACTAGCCCAGCGCATCTGCTCACGCGTTTCACATCCCGGTTTGCCTGGAACTTTTTTTTTTAAATAAAACTCTCTATTGTAGTGAACTTTTCCTTTTCTTTGAGTCTGAACACTAGGATTAAGTTCTCATCTCTAAAGCTATCAGAAGGAGCTTGGGTTTTACACAGCAGCAGAGCTTACCCTTCTCTCTGAGCCATCTATACTAATCTCCCTTAGTACACCCGTCTGTCAGAGTGACGGAGCTTCAGCTGCACCCAGGGAGTCAGCACCATCTCCTTCAGGCAGTACAGCACTATTAACTGTTCTGATGAAATCTAATTTGTTCTCATATCCAGGACTTGGTAAAATCAGTTCTTACTTAAAACCCCCCATTTTACAGCCAAGTATAAAAAGACTTTTCCAGTTGTAGTTAATCTAGAACTTAAAATGACCACGTACCTCATGGAGTTAACAGTCGATGGTTAGAACGCTTTAAAGAGGACAGCAGTAAGGAACAGATGTACACAAAGTTTTAATTTTATTTTTTTTCTCTGGTTGGAGACTCATCTTGTAACATGCATGCATTTCAAAACAGTAACAGTGTCTCAAACTGCTCCTAGCAAACAGACAAGCACAGAGGACTTAAAATTCCTATTTAAAAAACAGCAGTGAAAAAAACCTAGAATGCTTTATTTTTTTTTTTTATTGAGTTTTAGATTAAACTTAATTTATTCACATTTTTTTCAGTTGCACTGATTAGCCCTGCCCACCTTTATGACCTGTGTGTAATACACTCACTTGACACAACTCAATCCAGCTGCATTTCACATTGTGCAGCTCAACCAAGACCAGCACAACTTCTGAGTGGTGAAAACCAGCAGTTGGTTCCCCGAGCTTTGCCATCGCTATTACACAAGATATTCATTTCCAAGAGCAAGGAAAATCAGTAGTGGCTAATACAGATACTGGAGAATGGCTCTGCAGAAGTAGGGGAAGGTGACAGGCAAACCTGAAATGGGGCATTAAGACACAGATGGGGAGAGGAAAGCTTGTTTTGTGTTTGGAGGGGTTTTAAAGGACGACCTGTCTCAGATGGGTTACGCGGCATTGCAAACCAAGTTCAGGACACGCACACTGACTTCTGAAAGGTTTTGTACCACCTCGAAGTTAAACACTTTGACCTCTGTGCAGCTTGAAGGTAAAAAGCTATTAAGACTGCATAGTAGTCACAGGACTGGGAGGCATCTGTCCGTCGAGGCCAAGACACAACCCTACCAAACGTGGCCGGTAACTACAACACAACCTTGCTCGGTGCCTTTCCTGGGCTAAGAGGTGATGTCCCCACTGAAGGTAGCTGTGGCAGCGTTTTGGAGGGGAAAGCAGGAGTTTCCTCCCAGAAAAGGAACAAAAACTCAAGTGTTTTACTGTTCTGGCTGATTATGATAATCCAGTTCAAAACTAGGATTCCCAGATATGGGAGTAGAGCCTCATTTAGACAGGAAATCTGGAGTCACCTACTACCCCAGAAGTTCTCCCTGTGATGAATTTCATGATCATGGCTTTTCTAATTAAAACCAGGTCAATCAAAGGTGTGTAGGGGACCAGAGGGAAGCATCCCACCTCTCCTTGCTGTGAGAAGTGAACTCCTGCTGACATTTTTCTTACACATAGCAAATTCCAGACCCTCTTCCGAGTGCTGACACCACAGCTGACACAAAGGGTGGGTGCTGCCTGGTACCTCCAGAACACAGGGGTCCTATGAAAGGGTGACCCAATATGTTCTCGAGTGTTTTTTATTGCACTATTGGAGCAGAACAGCACCCAACCTGTGACTCTGCCTTCCCTCTCCCACTCTTCTTTACGCTGTAGGAGCTATCTTAATGGGGAAGATACAAGTTCTGGGTTCAAAGCAGTTTTTAGTTCTTAAATTTTGATGGATAAGTCCGTGTTCTGAAAGAGAGAGACCCTCAGTACGGGCAGGAATAGGGCTCCTTGCTGCTCACACAAACCCACCCTGCCTTTGGGCACTGGAGAGAGACACTGCACACTACATTTTTCTGTTTGAAACTCCAGTTAACCAAAGAATTACCCCTGCAATATCTTGTAAAATCCTGCACTCTTGAAAAGAATCTGAGTGATGTGCCTACCTACTGCAACTCTTTTCAGCCGAGGGTGGTTTTCAGTCAAATGCACTTCAGTGTAAAGTGTTCCGCAGGGTACACATGCTACAGACAGAAATATCTACATTCAGCAAACTAGAACTAAATTCACACCAGAAACAGACAACAAACTAGCACAAGCGGTTGTAAAACCAGAATTGAAAGGGCTGGGTTGTTTTTTTTTTTTAAATACTTGAGTTAAAAAAGTGACCTAAAACAAGATTTAAAAAAAAAAACAAAACAAACCAACAAACGAAAACAAAATAACAAAAACAAAAGTCCCTTTTAAAAACAAATCAAATATTTGCAGCTTCACTTCTTATTCTGGTAATAAAAATACTGTCTAGAAACAAAAATTAGCATTTTTAACGTAATGCTACCTCTCAAAATGTAAACAATATACAAAATGCTTATGTTAAACAAAGTTACATACCTGGGTAATACATCATTAAGTGAGAAAATTGCATTTAATTACTTTAATACACACAGTATGGCAACTTGACAGAAGTGGCAGAATTGGGGAAGTGCTAAAGTGAATAGAATTTATGGGGCTTTTCATATCACTTGAGCCAGAGACAGCCAAATTTAATTCTAGCAGGAGTTTGTTTGGAGTGGAATAAGAAAACAGAGTTAACTGCTCTTAAGCCCTTATTTTCATGACTTCTGTAAAGACTGCTGCAGGAACTCACTGCATTTTCATTTCATTCCTGTTTACAGAATTCTGTCAATGAGACTGTTGCTCCTAGCTATGCAAGCATCATTCTTCTACTTTCTTTGGGTTGTTTTGTTTTGTAGTGTCTCAGTGCAGGATGTCTGCAGTTCACTAATTTCCTTCTCTCTTCCTCCCCCCTTTTTCTCATCTTTTTTTCTCTCTTTTTTTTTTTTAAATACACAATTGAAAGATAAATAGTTTTAAAAGATAGATGCTAGCTTCCCAAAAGGAGAATGGCAAACTTACCAGGCCAAAGTTGCAGATTCAATGTAGATTTTTAAAACTGTCAGGAATAAAAAGTGATTGGTATTTAATTTCTAATGGATAGTAAACTTAAGTGCTTACTGTTTAAGAGAAAAGCAATCAATATAATGCCCACAAAACTAAGCTGATGATACCCTTTAAGTCCTCCCTTTTTAAAGTATTCTCATAGCTGCATTTGTTTTGTGGCTTTTCCAGCTACACACCTTAAGACATGAGACTCTTCAGCCTCCCAGACAATGGTGTGTTAGCCCCCACATCACACAGAACAGGGACTGGACTACAGTGGCAGAAGAAATTTGTCCCATGTTAAAGGGAATGACCCATGAATGAATAAAAAGATTCATATCCCATTATGACCCCCCCCTAATATTAATTTTTGATTTCTTAAAGACTCTATTTACAGTGCACTCTTATGGGCTGAAACTTTAGCCCCCTTTTGAACCCCCCTCAAAGTTGAGACCTGTGGGATTCACATCACGAATGTGGGTATGAACATAAAAAAAACCAAACAAACCCCCAAAAAAACCCCAAGCCCACATTCAGAATCCAGACCAGAGCTAGAGTTAGTCTAGGGAAATTACCAGGATGTGATGAGCACCAGTTATCTCTCAAAAGAACCAAATTCCACACAGCAAACCGTAGCACGCGTTACAGCACAGGACAGACATTCGAAACAGCTTATTCCCGAAACAAAGGCATATGTGAAAACAGTTTCAAGGCAGATAAGCAACAATGGTTTCAACTGCAAGAGGTTTGTTCAAAACGCTAAAATTCCTGCTTAGAAAGAAAAAAGAAAATAAAATAAAAAAAAAAGAAAAACAACAACAAAAAAAGGAACCAAAAGATCTGTAACTGTTGTGCAGCAGAGCTAACAGAACCCAAAGCAAGTCTGACAAGCTTTTGGCTGTGAAAAATATTACAAGCGTTCTGGAGACAAAACAGGACGTTATTCAGTCACGCAAATCAGTTCCAATTCCTTGTTTTTTGAGGGGGGGGGGCAAAGGAGGGGGAGAGAAATAATCTGGCGCAAGTGTTCAAACATTTCCACTCCTTGACTGTCGCTCTAGAGAAGGGTACGGAGCAAAAAAGCAATCACAGCTCAAGTCCCGAGTCCTCTTGAGCAGTGGAACTTGCTCCACAGTCACAGCTCCAGCACTCCCCACTGGTAACGAGTCCAATTTCTTCGTGTGCAAGTCACAATTGCCATTTGAAAAAAAAAAAAAAATAAACCAACTAACCAAAAAAGAACCTCTGTCAGGAAACAAATTCAAGTACCTGTTGCAGATCGGGCGAGTAAGGAAGACTGAACATTAGCTAGATTAACACTGGCAGAACTGCGATGTGAAGCTGTAATCTAAAGAGACACGGCAACTCCTGACCGAGGTGAAACGTTCCAGATAGTCAAATATTACCCCATATCTACAGGTACAAAATACCTTTTTCTTTGATGAAATCTTCATAGCTGGCCAATTTAAAGCACGATGGGTCCGAGCATGTTATTATCTGAGGTTGTTCAATGCTTCTACTACTTCTCACACTGGGTTTTTTTTCTTTTAGGTTCTAGGAATTACACCTTTTTAAGCAATCATCTTTGGTAGATGTTCATTTCCCTCGTCTTTCTTGTAAATCAAGTGCAGTTACAAAAAAAGTTTTTGTTACTTAAATTAACCAAAAAAAAAAAAAGAAATAAAAATAAAGTGTCCCAGTCTGAATTTACCTAAAGTTCAGCGACTCCTCCTTATCAGAGTAATATTTTCCATCCATGAAATGGTGAACTATTTTCCTTCCAATTCCTACCAAGAGGGAAATAAAAGGGCTTGTATGTCTTTCTGGTAAAGACAGTCCAATAAAAAAAATAAAATAAAATTAAAAACCAAATAGTAGTAGTTTGTGGAATCAGGCACTGCTTCACTCCCACTGAACGTGATCTAGAGCGACCCTTTTTGTACAGTGCCACATATCATATCCCTATGGGATTCTCTTGATCGAGAGAGAAGAAAATGTCATTAGAAAGAGCAGTGCTGAAACAATGCACTTTTCTTGTTTTAAAAAGCCCTCAAATCTATGTCTGGGCACTTCTGTAACATAAAAACCCACTTTTCCACCTGGGTCAAGTGGACTGTTAAGAGGGTGCACCTAGAATTCGTTTTCTCTTTAAGTCACGCAGTGTCACACACTCACTCTTGCACACACACACACACACACACACACACACGCACACCCCACATGCTGCTACAGTGTCTGTTTTAGTGTCACAGGCTGCGTTCTCTGTTTGGAAGTAGCCCCTCTTCTCTTCATTTCTCGCTGAAGGCTGAAGATGACTATGTCAGGATATTGGAGATAAATTCATTGAAGCGTTTAGAGTACTGCTCTGGGTTCACGGTGGAGATCTCTGCCCCAGCCTGCAAGGCAGAGAGGAGAGACATGTCACAAAACCCTCCTTGAAAGGCAGACCCTGCAGCACTGCAAAGGAGGGAGGACAGCAGGGAGTGATCATGCCAGCACAGCTTGTCTCTTCTGGGAAAGACACAAATTCTAGGAAAGAAGAACATCCGGAGCGGTCTAGAGAGAACACCAAGAGAACCAATTTCAGCTCCAGCTGGATCTTCTGCAGACCACTGAGACAAAGCACTGGAATTGTTCCCTCATGGTTTAGAGGAGATGTGAAGAAGCATGAAAAACTCCATGTCCTGCTAACCTGGGCTTTTTTCAAGCCCTTTTGGGAAGTTCAGGATTGCTGCCAGGGAACAAGGCTGGCCCCAGGAAGGGGGCAGGGTAGTAAGTCTCCCTGCAGCCAGTTCATTCCTGGTCTGTGAGGCTGTTGATGCCACACCAGGGAAATTGAGCACCTCCCAAACTGGGACATAAATGCATCTCCAATCAACCAGAGGGAAGGAAAGCCTTTCCAAGACAGTCTGAAGAGACAGTAAGTGAAGGAAGAGCTGTTCTCGGGCACAGAATCACTGGAGAATTTCTACACTGGTAGAAAAAGCAGTGTCAGGAGACATCACACCTAGGCATGCAGGCAAAGCAGAAGCCCCAAAGCCCATCCTGCCTGCGGGTGGCAGGCTGCTTACCCCATGTTTCACTGTTTTGGCAGCATGTGCAGCTTTCTTCTTCGCATCATATGGCGTAAGAATGTCTATAATGGCCATGAAGTATACTTCCTTCTTGGGGGCACCTAGCAAGGCAAGAGAGTTGCTAGCACACCCTGAGCTGTGAGCAAAGCCCAGCTCTACCGCCCTCCTTAAGAAATATACAGCAGATCTGTTTTGATGCAACTGGCAGAGAAAGCAAGGCAGCTGGAGGCTGCAGAAGGGCAGAGAAGAACGATGGGAAACAGCACACCAGAGGCTCACACACTCTCTGGACACACCACTACCCTCCAAGCATCACTTCTACCCATTCCAACTCACACCACCCACAGTAACAGCAAAGGAGAGACACTCAGCAGGATGTCTCTCTTGCTGTGGACAGTCCTCCCAGTCCATTTAGCCCAGACAGACCACAGGACACCTCCTCTGGCCTCCAGACTTTCTTCAGAGCACTATTCCATGATACTCACTTTCGTGGCTTTTCATGGCGTAGACGTCGACAGAAGGATCGAACTCGCCAGGCCCAAAGAAGCGAGGGTAGTTGAGGAGGTTGCCGGGGCTGTCGGGGGGTGTGCCATAGGAGGAGATAGGGTTGCCTCCGAGACCATCGTTCTCACACTCCTCATCCTCTGCCCGATCCTCCACCTCCATCTCTTCCTGCTCTGCTCGGTCAACATCATGGATGCCAACCAACAAGCTGTAGTCCATAATCTTCAGCTGAGCTAAAAACTGGGAGAAAGAAATGAGTGAGAACACCATCCACATGGGATGAGAAATCCTCAGTCTCACCCTGCCACTATCTCCTCAAGAAAGGGCTGTAGTGAGAGCTAAACCCTTATTAGACTCCAGAGAATCTACGACGATCTCATATGCCCCCTGCCATCAGCATGACCCTGACTGTATTTGCTTTTCAGAGGCCACAGGAAAAGCTGTCCCCCAGGAAACTCTACCTCCACGTCCCGCTTCAGCTTTTCAAGGAAGTTCTTTTTACTCTCTTCTCCAACGTGCAGCTTCTGACCTTCATTCAAGAAGTCGTTGTCCTTGAATGTTGGTAGATCCTTGGCCTGCAACAAAAAGCCTGTGTGAAATTCTCCAAACCTCTACATCTCGGGGAAAGGCTGGTACGCTGATCCATTAGCACAGAGACTCGGATCGAGTGTGGGTCTGCACCAGGATCTTTTGCCTGTTTATAAAGTGAAGTGGCTCATCCTGTCCACTAAATCTGAAAATGGCACCAGGCAGAGCACAATATTTGTCAATGAATCCATGTGCTGAGTTGTACCTTGGGGGAAATGGAAGGAGACACAGAGAGAAACTCAACTTTAAAGACTGTCGGGAAGATGTGCTGCAGGCTGAAAGCTTGATAGCTGGGCTCCAGCCAGAGATGGTCCAACCAGCTCCCAGAATAGAAAAGAAATGCATTTTGTTGGCTTCTGATTGGAAGGGAAGGGGTGAAAGCTTGGGGGAAAAAAAAAAATAAGAGCTTCTCTCCCTGTAGACTTGAGGAAGAAATTAAAACCACTGCTTCTGCTTTTTGAGAAATCTATTTGCAGCAGGCCCTGAGGATTTCTCAGGGATATGGAAGAACATACAATCCCTTTGTGCAACTGGGAATTAAATTATTTTGTTCTTAGAATGACATGTGAGTGTGTGGTGGCTTTATATAGATCTAATATGAATGGTCTGAGACAAACTGCTTAAGCAGAAAAAGCTGGAGAGTAAACAGCCAGCAAGCCAGGGACAGGGGCAGGATGAAGCTGTGCCCTGACGCCAGAGTGTTTGGAGTAAATGGGAATTCCTTGGCTCATGCCAAACATCTACTTTTAGGGCAGGCTGGAGTAGACTTATTCTGTGGTCCCAAACCTGAAAATCCCATGTGCATATGCAAAACATGTAGGACCACGAGTTACTGCTTTGATTTCAACAGGTCTTTTCATGGCAGCATCACAGACAGTTTTGCAGGGCAGGATTCTTAGTCAGATGTTCCCCTAATGGCACCAGAAACCAAACTTACAAACTTACTGAGATATGTCAAGAATCTGAGAGGAGCTGGTCTGGTTTATAAAAGCATCTGTTGCAAAAGCTCACTGCTGACCTGACTCAGTTTTGTACACAGGCAGTGCTATGAAGAAATCCGTCCATAAAGACACCATTGCACAAATGTGGGCTTTGGTACTTGTGGGATTGTCTCCCAAGAAGTTCCCCCTACTCCTGGTAGTGTCAACATAACAGAGGAGGGCTGGGCAGCACCAAATCTGCACCATTTCTTCCTCAGCAGTTACTGGGCACAGCCTGAAAGGTGGGGCAGAAACAGGTTATCACTCGGGGCCCTTTGAACATCCTCTGCTCAATACCCCGTTGGAAAAGGGAGGTCAGTTGGATCCCATCTGCTTCCAACAACCAGGAGGAAGGAAAGGCTGGTCAGGAACTGTCCATACCTTCTCTTTATCACTTGCTTCCCTGGATACTGTTGAGCCCTGATAAAAGAATAAAGAAAAGAGCATTGCTGCACTATGTGCCACATTCCCAAAGAATTCAATTACAACATTTAATTCCTCCATGTAGAAACATAATGAAGGTATTTTTAAAATCAGTGCTCAAGCCCTTTTTCATGACTTACAGATTTCCCTGGTGTAGTTTAGGTCACTTGGGATGGGGGAATGACATTTGACCCTCAAGTGAAGCCCCACCCAGAGCCCCCAAAACTTAATCCCCTGAACAAAAAAAAAAAAGCCCAGGACCTCGTCAAGTAGGTGTGACGAAGACCAACTCCCACCCTCCTGGAAAAGGAGCTCTCAGCTCCATGACCATCCTCCAAACACTCACCTTCAGGTCATATTTCCTGTGCACAGTCAGCCTGTGACTAAATACATTTCTGGTAACCACCATGTAGGTTTCCACTCCATCCACGGTGAGCCGGTACATGCCAAGGAACTGGGGCAGGAGGGTGTTCCCATGACACTCCACTATGAACTGGAGGAGAGTGGGGAAGGGAAGGGTAGAGAAAGACAGTACTGTCACACAAACCCATCTCGGACAGAACACAAGCTCAGCAAGAAGCTGATAGCAAAGCCTCCAGTTCCAGCCACCTGACACTGATGTGAAAGGAAAAGAGGCTTGTAAATGTCTCCCAGGGTCTGAAGAAAAGCAAGTTAAAGCATTGTAAGAATCTTCCAGCCCTGAGCTGAGACAGGGCATCCCACTGTGTGTGTGTGT